TTCAGCCAATGGGGTCAACCAGTACCTTCGACTACGCCTCCCAGCAGAGGGCCTGAAAAAGCCAAAGGCCCATTACCCAATTGTGTGTGTGTGTGTGTGTGTGTGTGAAGCTGCTTCTGGGTTGGCCTTGTGAGGATCTCTCTGGCCTTGGGACTCCACCCTGGGCATGAAATTCCTTGAGGGCGCCTGTGTCAAGCCTGAAACTTCTTGTATCCTTTATAAAACTCACTTGGATCACAAAAACCAGGCTCCGGGGTGAAATCTTTCTTGCGTGAAGCCAAGAACCGAGGTATTTCTCACCTGAGAGACCTAACAGTTGGAATAATAGTCACTTCCCAACACTTAAAAGTTCTGTGACTTTTAAGTCGCTTCGAGATGGAGCCCTTGGTGGCGCGGTGGGGTCTAAGCATCGGGCTGCTCTCTGGAAGGCTCATCTTTCAGAGCCACCAGCTGCCCTCAGCAGAAAGAGGGCTCTTCTAAAGACGTACAGTCACGGGAAGGCTACAGGTCTCCCTAAGGTGGACTCCACTCGATGGCAGTTCTTGCTTTTACCCCCACCCCCTTAACTTGGGCATGATTGTGATAGAAATCATCCGCACTAATATTGAATCTCCATGGAAACGCTTGGGTGTGGAATATCCACGGGGTGAAGCAGTTACCTCACCTTGAAATGGTGCCATGAAGCTCTTGTTCAGAGAAAGGTGGAGATGTAGACCTTGGCTTCTTTGTTTTAGGGCAATGAATACAGAATCCCGTGAAGCAATTCCTTCCACAGATAGCTGTAGGCAATGGGTAAAATGCAATGCAAGGCGCTGTGTGTTGGGATTAACCGACAGAGGCTGTGAGCATTATGAGAAAGCGCTCTCCGGAGCTTCAGCAAATTCCAGGCACTAATAATCCCACTTATCAGGGGCACCAATAGGCTCTAAGTACAAGAGCTATAAAGCATGGCTATGGTTTGCAAAATGAACAGTGTGTTTCGCCTGCAGAACATCCCCCAGCCGTCCTTCTCCCTCCTTATTGTTATAAAGCGGTTCTTGCTTAGATTGCACCTCACTGTTCTTCTTGTGAATGAAAATTTAGCTTTCAGTGAACTATTGACCTCCTCAATGGACCCTGGCTTGGTGTAAGGGCTACGTGTTGGGCTGTGATCCCTGAGGTCGGCAGTTCAAAACCACAAGTAACTCCTTGGGAGAAGGGTGTGGTTTTCTACTACCATAAACAATTACAATGTCAGAAACCCAATTTTGAGGGGGGTGTCTTTATGTGTCAGCATCGAATTGATGGCAATGAGTTTGGTTTTTTGGCTCCCCGCCCTCCCCTCTCCCCACTGCCCTACCACACCCTGACGGTCACTTAAAGATTATGAAACGGACGTCCGGATCCAGATTTTACCAGAACCCAGCTCCTGCCCTACCTAGAAAGCTGTTCTCGCCTGGGTTTTGCCGTTTTCTTGGAATTCAGCTTCAGCTCTAATGGCTAAAGGCCATGGGCTATCTCTTTTCCATTCTGTGCTCTGGCCAAGAGGAGGCTTTGCTAGCTCATCTCTGGGCTTGCCCTTTCTAGGTTATTTAAGTGGTGCTATTAAAAAAAAAAAAAAAAAAAGGCAGCAACAGCAGCCACTGAAAACCCAGGATGAAACTAAACACACAATCCCCAACCGGGTGACATGAAAACCACAATAACACTGTTTACTTCTTTCCACACCATCATTTCCTGATGGCATTGACAGGGCAAATGGGTGTACTATTTTTATAAGAGCTTAACCTGTTGTCAACTGTGCACCTGTCACAGGGGAGCCACAGCTAGCTGTGTTTAGAGGGAGGGCATCCTTGCAATTCTTCCTGACTGAAGGGGGTTGTTCAGAGAGTTAACACTGGAGCTATTGATGGGGTGATGTACACTCATCACTGCTCTATCTTCTGTAGGTCTGTTGAGCCCTGGCCAAGTCGATGAAGTCATGAAACAAGTTTAGACCATTTTCCTTGGAGCCTGAAATTCCCTAGCAGCTCCCTGTTCTCTGCCTGCTGTAAACCTTGTTTCTGATATTTATGAGCATGCAGGCGAGTTCCGGTGTACTAATTATTTTTATCCATTGATCAGACAAGCAAGAACAACCCTATGAATTTCTGGATCCAACGCCAACAGCTTCCATGTGCAGATGGATCAGGACACATTCAGAAGAAACATGTCTTCTCACTTAAAGGTTGCCTGGGGAGCTGAACTTGAGCATTTTGAACGTAGACACATGCCTCTTAGGGAAAGTAATAACGGAGGGCATTCAACAGTAGCCGAAAGGTTGGCGGCTCAAATCCACTCAGAGGCACCTTGGGAGACAGACCTGGAGCTGAGTTTCTGAACAGCCATAGCCTGGGCAGTCTTACGGCACGCCCTTCTCTTCCGCAACACGGGGCCACCACCAACACACGGGGCCACCACCAGCACACGGGGCCACCACCAACACACGGGGCCACCACCAACACACGGGGCCACCACCAACACACGGGGCTACCACCAACACACGGGGCCACCACCGGTTCAAATGGGCTTGATGGCAACTATAAGAACCATAATGTCATGAACAGTTTATACATTTTACCATTCAAAATGGTTCACTCGTTTCAGTTTTAAGCATTACATGTACTTTTAACAACACAGCCTACTCCATCGTTGTGTCTCAGTACCTGTGATCTGGCTTTTTCAGATCTCTCCTTTAGTACAAAGGCAGGATCGTAACACATACCGAGGAAACAGAGAAGGAGGGTTTTCGCCCTAAGATGATTGTTTGGAATAGCTACAGAGTTTTGCCTCCACTTGGGGGAAATACTAGCCATAAACATATGTCTCAGGTGGTTCCGTCTACAGAAGGAGGGCGAACTCTTGGAAGATCCAGAGAGGCAATGCGGTTGGCATAACTCAAGGTCAGACTTCCAGTTCTGTCTCACGGCCATGAATCCAGACCAAATCACCTAGTTCTCATGTTTTGACTTTTCGGTGGAGGAGAAACAGTGGAGGGTTGATTTGCTTTCCTGATTTGACAGGAAACGTCTGATTGACTACAACAGCTCACCACTGTTCTTTTACACTGGGCAGTGGTGTTAAGCTGAGCTCTTCAATGTATTCTGTGGTTAGCTAGTTAAGCAGAAGTGACCGTGCGCCAAGAGGTTTGTTTTCAAAACAAAACGAATCGATTTTTGGTTGTTTTGATGATTATGCTTTGGTATTTTCAGACAGCTCTGACTGGTTTAATACTGGAAGGTATCACGTATGTTGAGTTACATTCAGGCTCAGTCTTAGGATTTTAAATTTGGTGGGCGTGCCACACATCTCATGTTGTTTTCAGCAAGGTTGACTTGCAGGGTTGTGGCCTGGTCTTATTCAATTCCTTAAGTGGAAAAGACCTCCCCTTCAAAGGATCCTTGCCCTCCCTGCCTTTGTGCTGTGTCTGGTTCGTCTTGTTCCTGACCCCCAGCAGACTTTACCATCCCAAGCAGGACAAGGCAGTAGGACTTCTAGGGTACTGTACAGAAGAAGGAATGAGTATGATCATCTATAGTGTAAAAGACCTCCTCAGTGCAGAGTGGGGAAATGAAATACCAGCTCAGCCAAGTCATTTTATACATATATACACATGCATACATGCACACATGAGTACATATATATCTAATATATATGCGCTCGTGTGTGTATATATTTATATACACATACACACATACTATAAGAGTCTTGGGAAATAGATTGAATATGTAATAGGGAGTCATATTTATCAAAATCTTGAAAATCTAGCCACATCTATAGTATATATATATATATATATATATAGTATAAATACTATAGTATACATACTATGGTATTTATATATAATACTATAGTATACTATATATAAATACTATAGTATTATATATATATATGATACCTGAACATGCTTTCTCTTTGAAGCTTTCAAGATTTTGAAAAAATGCCTTGCAAACATATAATGTCTGAATGCCTTGCAAACATATAATGTCTGTTTCCTGAAGCACCTTTGGTGAATATTGTGAAATTAAGCCCTTACTATTTACACTCATATTGTTTGCTTCCCTCCAATCTAAAATGTTGCTCCCAGCTCCGTGATGGTCATACGGGAATCACGTGTCCATCAAATGTTGTTGTTATTTGGTGCTGGTGCCCTTGAGTCGGTCTGACTCGTGGTGACCCTCCATACAACAGAACAAAACACTGCAAACTTCTGCACCGTCCTCACCATTGTTTTTGTGTTTGAACCCGTTGTTGCAGCCACCATGTCAACCCATCTTGCCCAGTGCCTTTCTCTTTTCACATGCCCCTCTGATTTGCCAAGCATGATGTCCTCTTCCTGGGTCTAGTATCTCTGATAACATGTCTGAAGTATATGAGATGGACGCTCTCCATCTACGGGACCTTCTGGCTGCACTTCTCCCCAGACAGATCTGCTGGTTCTTTTGTCAGGCCACAGTACTTTAATAGTCTTCACCCACCACATAGTTCCAAGGCACTGATTGTTTGGTCTCCCTCATTCAGTATCCTACTTTCACATGCACGCTAGGTGATTGACAATACTTGGCTTAGTCCCCCCAAGCATTCTGATTTCCAACATTATAAAGAGGTCTTGGCAGCAGGTTTACCCATGCAGTATGCAGTTTGATCTCTTGACGGTTGCTTCCATGAGCATTGGCTGTGGATCCAAGCAAGATGAAATCCTTCCTGTAAGTTGCTTATTCAAATGATTATGCTGTTCCCGGGGCTAAACTGTTGACTGTCGTGTGAAGGAGACTAAGATGCAATTCCAGCCACAGTGTCACTGAGTTCTTGTGAGAGGTTACTAATAATTTACCCAATTTAACATGGCTAGGATCTTCAGTTAATGAGGAAAGCACTCTATAGAGCATGGGTGGATATTAGTGAACATAATACAATGCAGCGAGATCATAGCTGACAGCATCAACCATTGAATTGCTTTAAAAAATGCAGGAATCACTTAGTTTAACTTGCAAAAGGAAGTTTATTGAAGCATAGAAACAATTGGAGGCAAGTTGTCATGTCAATTTTGTTCGAGAGCATGCTAACAAGAAAAGAAGAGGATGCAGGAAAATTGGCTGGTCATCTCTTTCTGGACCGAAACTTTCCCCTGAAGGGATCCAGCAGGAGGGCTAGATAGGTACAATTTCTTCCCTAGTCCTCCTCTTGAAAGACATTCTGGTTGCGGTGGAAACTGCTTATTTCACTTTCACTTCAGAAACATTGCTGACTTGAGATGAGACCACCTTGCCGTCGACCACCTCCTCCACGATGGTCTTAGTTACTCTGGTCTTGCTTGGATCTGAAAGTCATGTGATCACAAAGTCAGTCTGGGAATGACCTCACATACATAGATACAGAGAAACCCAAGCACATGCATGAGTGCCTGTGTCTCCAGGCAAGCTTGCATAGACAAGATTCTATAATGCATAGACGCGGAGGTTGACGAGCCTATACCTTTAAGGTATTCAATCATTATCTGCACTCAAAACAAAACAAAGACGCACCTCGTCCTTGACCAGAACCACTTCCACATCTCGAGTCACCAGAGCCGGACCCCCTGGATCCCATGTTTCTGGATCCAGATCCTCCGGAATAAGAGCCACTAGAGAAAAGAGAGAATACGGTATCAGCACCTCTCTTGACTGTTTGCAGGAGCAAAGTTTCTGGATGGCTTTTGATCGGACTGCGTTCTGATTGTGACTTTATGGGCCGCTGAGCCCCCTTTTGGTTATTGATGGCAAACAAGTACAGCCATCTGTGCCGCGCAGCTGTTCGAGGTGCCCATTTACCCGCCCTCTCCGTCGAGCAGGCGGCGGTAGGTCTCGATCTCCATCTCCAGGCGCGTCTTGATGTCGAGCAGCTGCGCGTATTCTGCGTTCTGACACTCGGTCTCGCCCCGGATCTGGCAGATCTGCTCCTCCAGGCTGCTAATGTGCATCTGGATCTCTGACAGCTGAGACATGTACTGGGCCTCTGTGTCGGCCAGGGTCCCCTCGAGGGAGCTTTTCTAAGAGAGGAAGAGAACGAAAAAGACTCACGATGAAGAGAAATGGTTGGATGATTTTTAAGGATGCCATTTTACATACGACTCGGGGAAGTCCTTTCACACTCCTTTACCAAGTTACAACCGATAGGAGTATCGTGGAATCACTGTTTCTTTATGTCGCCATCTCATTTGTTTCCTGAAACCCCATCTTTTATGCAAAGGTAGCGTTTCTCTTTCACTGGAATCGTTTATGCTTTCAATGAGCAGAATGCAGCCCCTTTGATCGGCCCTTTTATTCTGGGTCCAGGGGAATATACTGGCAGAGAAAGGAAACAGCCCCCCAAAAAAAAAAAAAAAACACAACCAAATCAAACAGTCCTATTTGTTTAATATCCCGCTGGAGATTTGAAGGGCTGTCTGCACGCACCATGGCCAGTTGGGACTGAAGCTCGATTTCCAGGGCTTGCAGGGTGCGCTTCAGCTCTGTGACCTCAGTCTTGGCCGAGCTGGCCGCCCCAGCGTCGGTAGTGATCTGGGCTTGCAGCGATGCGCTCTGCAAGGAAGAAGAAGACGCATCCATGCAGGTGGCTGAGCCCTGTGGCAGAGGCGTGCGCGTGCGCGTGCGCGCTCGTCCATGCCCAGGTGATACCCACCTGCTTGTTGAATTGCTCCTCAGCCTCCCGGCGGTTTTGCTCCGCCAGCTCCTCGTACTGCGCCCTCATGTCATTCAGTAATTTGGTCAGGTCCGTTCCCGGGGCAGCGTTCATTTCCACGGTCACGTCTCCCCCGGAGTTGTCTTGCATATTCCTCATTTCCTAAAGTGCAGCGGAAACCGAGATCATAAGTGATGAAAACAAAAGGTCTGGCTCCCTAAAATGTGCAGGACCAACCCCACTGGACGCCAGCCCCCCGAAGAAAACAAACAAACAAACACAAGACGATTTCAGAAATATTGTTCATTATGACTTATTTTTTCCTGATTAGAGGATTTTGGGAACCCATTCAGATAGAATTGGTTTTGGGGGAGTGCAGAGTGGAGACCCAAAGCCCATTTGTAGGCCACTGAACATCCCCTTACAGAAGGGGACCCCAGGGAGGAGAGGAGCCAGTCAGGGTGTGATGTTGCAATGATGAAACATACAACTTTCCTCTAGTTCCTAAATGCTTCCTCCCCACCCACTATCATGATCCCAATTCTACCTTACAAATCTGGCTAGACCAGAGGATGTACACTGGTACAGATAGGAACTGGAAACAGGGAATCCAGGGCCGATGATCCCTTCAGGACCAGTAGTGAGAGTGGTGATACTGGGAGGGTAGAGGGAGAGTGGATTGGAAAGGAGGAACCGATTAGAAGTATCTACATGTGACCTCCTTCCTGGGGGACAGACAACAGAAAAGTGGGTGAAGGGAGACATCGGACAGGGCAAGATATGACAAAATAATAATTTATAAATTAACAAGGGTTCATGAGGGAGGGGGGAGCAGAGAGGGATGGGAAAAATGAGGAGTTGATGCCAGGGCCTTAAGTGGAGAGCAAATATTTTGAGAATGATGAGGGCAATGAATGTACAAATGTGCTTTACACAATTGATGTATGTATGGATTGTGATAAGAGTTGTATGAGCCCCTAATAAAATGATTAAACAAACAAAACAAAATCAAACAAACAAAAAAAGAATTGGGTTTTTAAAAGGCTTTCTGTATTATCTTTTTTTTTTTTTTTAAGCTAGCAAAGATGTGGGGTGCAGGTGGGGAGGACTCCCTTGGCCCGAGTGGTGGAAGGATGTGAGACGTGCGCTCACCTCCTCGTGGTTCTTCTTCAGGTAGGCCAGCTCCTCAGTGAGGCTCTCGATCTGCATCTCCAGGTCGGAGCGGGTCATGGTCAGGTCGTCCAGCACCCGGCGCAGCCCGTTGATGTCGGCCTCCACGCTCTGCCGCAGGTACAGCTCGTTTTCATACCTGGAAGGAACGCACATGGCCCTGTGGTGAGCACTTCTGGGTGCACTTGAGACAGAGTCTCAAGTTCTCCCCTCGGAACATGTCGGTTAATGAAACCTGTACATTTCTCTTAGGAATCATTTCCTTCTTAATGCTAATTCTAATCATGCCCAATACATTTGACGACAAAATTCTCATCCTGAAATTGCCCGTTTTAAAGCTAGGTGGATGGAATAATCGTTTCTAAAGTTTACCTTGGGCTCTTTGTGAATTTGGGTGGTTCTCTAAAAGGGTTATTATTATTATTATTATTATTGTTTAACTGAATTAATCAAGTGGGTGTCACTTTCACAATAGGGGTCATCTGTTTCCCAGCCTTCGCCTTTCTTACTTCAGTCTGAAGTCATCAGCAGCCAGCCTGGCATTGTCAATTTGCAAAACGATGCCAGCATTTTCAACAGTGGCAGTCATGATCTAGAAAAGACAACGACCGCTTGTAAATCAGAGACTTTTCTTTTAAACCTTGGGTATGCACACCTGCCCGCGAGGGCAGGTGTTTCTGCGTTATTTACTTTTAACGGGGAAATGCTGTGCAAACCATTTGATAAGGGCACCTGTGCAGACGATCTTGGTGAACGCAGGACTATGTCTTTCTGCAAAAAGATACGTTTTCACACCGACTGGAAGAAGCAGGGAACATTTTTTGACAGACCCCAAGCACTCTGCACACACCTGCTCTCCTGGAATACCTGTTATTCCAGGAGCTCTTTTAAAAAGAGTGTAAAAACCGAGTTCCCCCTCAATGTCTTTAAACATGTATTTTCTATGCAGCAGTGGCTAACACTTTAGGTTTCATGATTTCCTTACACACTAGGAAAAATGGGATTAAAAGACCAGAGAATTTTCCATGAACTTTTTGCATTAGAAAGGAAAAAGGAAAAAAAAAAGTGTAATAAGCAAATACATTCTCAATCAGTTCCTTGAATTCCATTTCTTATTTCAATATATGATCTGATTAAAAGTGAAAACCACAAAACAAATAGAGTCTGAACACTATATGGTTTCTCACCTGATTCTTCAGATCCTCAATGATTGGGTAGTACTTGCTGTAATCCCTTCCAGATCCGCCATCTCTAGACCCAGGCCCAAACTTGTCATACCACTCCTTGATTTTGTTCTCCAGGTCGGCGTTGGCCTCCTCCAGGGCTCTGACCTTGTCTAGGTAACTGGCCAGGCGGTCGTTGAGGTTCTGCATGGTTTGTTTTTCGCCTCCGGAGAACAGTCCCCCATCACCTGCACCACCGCCCATGCCACCACCACCCATGCCACCACCACCCATGCCACCACCGTAGCTGTAGAAACCCCCACTAGCACCACCGCCAAAGCCAGAACTCCCACCGAAGCCAGAGCCCCCACCGAAGCTAGAGCCCCCGCCAAAGCCAGAGCCCCCGCCAAAGCCAGCCCCATAGCCTACTCCTCCCAAACCACCTCCCACTGAGCAGCTACCAAAGCCCCCTCCAAAGCCCCCCCCAGACCCCCCACTCAGGCCACAGCTGCCGGCTCCTCCTCGGAAGCTACGGCCAGAGCCGCCCCCCAGGCCACATCTGCTTCCACTGCTGAAGCTGCTCCCTCCAGCAGACACGCGGACCGAGCTGCTGCCCCCAGCCCTGGAGGAGGAGATGCGAGATGAGCAAGACATGATGCTCCTGGCTGCTTAGCTTGTCGGGGGAACAGGAGTGGTGAGAGGGTAGAACGTGTTTCCAGGGTGCCTTTGTGGCTCTTATATACACACTTTTAGGGTGTTCCTCTTCTGTGTCATTTCTTAATCCCTCTGACAGTTTTGCTAATCCGTAATTGGATAATTTCTTTTTCGTGAACCCACTTTACTGGCTTTCTCTCTCTCTCTTTTTTGAAGCTGGGTCAGCCCTGGGGCTTTTGCTATATGGGGTGGGGGCAGGGAAGGTGGAGCAAAGCAAAGATAATTTTCAGAATTAGAGCTGTAATCTGAGGTTTTGATGACTTGATCTTTTTTTTTTTCTGTAAAGGTAAATCTCTTAAATTTGCTTCATCATTTCCCAATGGCAGGGAACACCAACCCCCCCCCCCCGCAGATTAGCAGATGCAATTAAAATACTTAATATGATGAAAATGAAAAATTTCCATCAAACCTAGATTTTTGTTCAAGTGGTTCTCAGATGTTGAAATTAACTTTTGAATCAGCATTCGTTTCTGATGTAATTCTGTGTCCTCTTTGAGCACATTTGTAAGAATACTGAAGTTTGTGAATGCACGTTATTTCTTTCTCTGTCATTCGAGACCAAATTACATCTGTTCACTGCTAATAAAGAAAACTTTAAAAAGAGATACTCTTTCGTGTAAAGTAGAATCCGCTCTCAGCGGCATGCTTATCTGACCAGGTAATATCTAAGAAAGATAGGGAAAGGTTTGTGGCAAGCCTCCCACCCCCGCCCCCAGGATCAGACTACGGTTAAATTATAACTGGTTAAAGGAAAATAAAAAAGCTCAGGTTTGGAGTCAGTTACAACGCATAGTGATGTTATAGGACAGAGTAGAGGACAGGTTGAAAATGTTTATGGAAGCAGACAGCTTCATTTCTCTCTTATGGGGTGGCTGGTGCGTTTGAACCTCTGACCTTGGGTTTCACAGCCCAACATTTATTCCACTGTACCATAAGGGCTCCTCTAGCCAATGGAGTATCACTGATAAGCTTTTCTTTCTGACTGAATTCTAACTTGATACTCTGATAGCCATTCCTTCTTTTGAATCCAATCTTAAGAAATTACGAGGTGGTGCTGACGTCTCTGGTGTTTATTTTAAAGCTAGTTGGAGAAGCAGCTCCGCACTCACCTCTGGTCCACAATACCAGGCCCTCAGTTGTTTCAACGACACTGCGGTCTGGAGTTGACTCTCCGCTCGTGAATTCCCGCTTGTGTTTAAAAAATAGCTAGAAAAGAGCATCTAGAGCCACTCTCATAACTGCTGTCTGGCTGGCTGTTTTGTAGACACTGACATCCGGACTCGGCTGCAGTCCACTTCTTGCTTCGGGGGTTCCTGACCCTTCGCACGTTAGGCTTCTCTCATTTGCCTATGCTGGTGGCTTTTCGGAGAGTTTGAATTCTACCTGACAACAATGGGTTTTCAATGAGTGGTGTTTCTTTTTGTTGTTGGGGAGGGGGTGTTAAAGAAAAAAGAAAGCTGTTTTTTTTTTTACAATAGATGCTTAAAAAACAACAGCCAAAAACCTCCTTGGCCTCTTCAACCTTATAACCAGGCAGCTAGCTGAGTCTTGATAGACCACGTGCTTCCTTATCTTGGCAGCTCTGTTAAACTGTGTGCGTGCTCGGATCTTTGCATTTCAAGGATCTGTTTGACAACATTCTGCCTTCTTTGAACATCTGTCTTTAGACAGCCTCTGATGGAGACTCTTTATTAAATGAGTGCTAATTCCCTTTACCGCGGAGCTCTTTTATGTTTCTTTATTTATTTTTCAGGAACATAAAAAAATTTATAATAGTTTGATTGACATAGCTTACACAATCCACTGTATCCATTCATGTACAACTCCGTTGTTCGATCCCATCGCGTGGAGTTATACCATCATCCATGCTGTCAACTCCGCCTGCCCCCCATTGCATAGCTCGTTGAGTTCTCAGTTCTTCATGCTGTGCCCGGACTGCTTTGGCAGCAGTAGCATGTTGTCGTTGTTAAGTGCCATTGAGTTGGTCCACCTGATAGGAGCCCTGTGTACGGCGGCAGGAGAGCCCGCCGGGGCCTGCGCCGGCTTCACAGCCGTGGCTACACGCGAGCCCATGGTTGCAGTCACGGAGTCACCCCATCCCATGAATCCGTCCCTTCCCTTTCACTGACCCTCCTTGACCAAGCACAACGTCCGTCTCCAGCACCTGGCTCCCCTGACAGCGTGTTCCAAGGATGTGAGAAGTCTCACCCTCCTTGCTCTAAGGAACATTCTAGCTGTACTTCTTCCAAGTTAGATGTTCTCATTCCTCTGGCAGTCCGGGGCACATTTAATATCCTCTGCCAATACCATAACGAAGAGCCTTGTGTAAGGAGTACAGGGCTGTACTTCAGAGTTAGATAGCATTCTGCCAAAGGGGTAATTACGTATTTTACAAATCTTAAATCGTTAAATTGGGAGTAATTCCCAGAACACCCTGCTGAAGTAAGAAAAAGTACATCAAGCATGGTAATATGTCAGTCATCCTACCTCACTCCTCCCCAGAGCTATGAAACCAAAGAAAGCCAACACTAATGATTAAATTGTATGCAAATGTTGGCAATGGGAAGAATAGCCATTGGTTGCCTTTTTTTATAAAAATGATTTCCTTCTTTAAGTTGTGAAACGTAATCTCTGCTTTCTTAAGGGCTGGCCTCTGACTCACCGGAGGTAAAAGAAAGGAGGGAAGTGAAAGAAACCCGAGGCTCAGCCCTTCAGGAGACCCGCGAGAAAGAGTTTTCTGAGGAGAGTGAGAAGGCTTGATCTAGCAGTATCTTTTGCCTCCAGAGCTCGCTTGGGCTTTGAGGAGTTTTTCTTTACTTATTCCTCTGCGTTGGCACTGTTGCGTTTGGGGTGCTATCTGTACCTCATTCTTTGAGACACTTGGACCCTTGGATCTCAGCTGAGGATGCTGGTGAAGGCAGGCAGTCTATCTTCTTTCTTTCCTTTCCTTTAAAAATAATTTTTAAAAAGCTTTCTTCTTGATCATTTTAAGCCTTTCCCCCCTTGATCATATTCTAGCCTTCATTCTTTCTTAAAATTCAACTTCAAAGTTCAGTTCTTCTGCGATGTTGCTGCGGCACGCTGTACTTCCCCAAGGACCGCTCCAAGGGCCCGGAGTGGACAGACGAGCTGTTAAGAGTGACAAAGACCCTGGTCTTTGTTGACCATTTTCGTGTTTTCTAGGTCTCAATAAGACTTTCATTAAATGGCAAGTCTAGCCAGTAGCCCAGTCTTCCAATCCGGATGCAGGGGTTTGGAAGTTGTACGGAATGCTGATATGGAGGGAATTAGGGAATTTGAATCAGATACAAATACATTTATTGGTGTGTGTGTGTGTGTGTGTGTGTGTACCTGAAGTGTAAAAATTTTTTAGTAAATATTTATTTTATATTCTTTTGAAAATATTACAGCCTTGGAAACCTGGTGGGTCAGTTTCTGGGGCGGAGTCTCTGCTCTACAGTGTCATGTTGAGTCAGAATCGACCTGGCGAGCATGAGTTTGACGTATTGCTTTGTGACACTCCATGTCTGATCCTCACTCTCTTGATTTGAAAGAACAACGTACCAGATATCACAAACGAGCTCTTGCGTTTCTTCCACCTGTAAAACGAAGGCCTGGAGAGGCTGGGGAGACCCCGGTGAAGTCGCACATCCCAAAGTGTCCCCTTCAGTGCCTGGCAGCTCGTGGTGGTCCACTACGCGATAGTCCAATGGCAAGGGGCCAATCCCAGCCGCCTGCGCTCTCAGAGCAGCGCATTGCCCTGGGCTGCCTGCTGCTTTGAAGAGCGATGAGACGTTGGTTCTTAGCGGCTCATTTTTAAGAAATCCTGTACATTGCACTTGACTGCAGACTCTAAACGTTGTTATAAGCGCAGGATGGCTTTCAAAGAGGAATCAGCATCGTTTTGGTGAGATGGGTTGCTCGCATTGGTTTTTCACTTTCAGGCCAACGTATTACAAGTTTTTCGATCAGAAGGCAAACCAAATACTGACAGGTGTGATGCATCGGCCCTGATGAACCTTTCAAGTGTCGAGAAAAGAACTGAGAGGCTCTGTCTTCTGTTTGTGCCGGAGACTATCCTGTGAGGAGTTTTCCAAATGAAAGCACTATGTCAGAGTCGTCCTGGGAAGTCCCTGAGGAGAGCGCAGTGTGGAGTCCCTGTTCTACACACATGCAGGTCAGACGACCCGCACTGAAGAGCGGCTTCTTCCGCAGTCTTGAAGCAGTTATCGTACTGTTAGTCCTATGTGCAG